AACCAAAAAAAAAAAAAAAACCTGCATCGGAGCAATTCATAGTCTCAGCATTTCCGATCAGTCTCCTAGACAAATTTGCATAGTACTACTATTTGTTCTATTTTTCTAGGTGTTCTGCACAAAGGGAGCATGGAACACAATATCTAGTCATTTGTACATTTAGCAATTCAATTTCAATTTTTTTTTTCTATTTCCTTGAAGCAACTGATTTCAATCTGTTGTAAATTCTATGGTACTAATTTTCTAGAATATAAGGACAGCTCTCCAGGGAAATGGGAGACCTAACATTAGGGCTGTTCCTTTCTTATGTCCCTTCTAACAGTCAATAATGAAAGCCACATGCACTGGCTGAGAAAACGTTTGGAGTGGTCAAGTACACATCACCCAAAAAGAGAAAGCCTATCACAAAAAGTGATAAAATGTTACAGATTTGCATATGCTAATATATATGCATTGAGCCAAGTTTAGAAATAATATTATATAGTTACAAATAAATTTCTGCCGTGGTACCCATCCATCATCTCCCAAGAAATCGGACTTGCCCCAACCCTGCTGGCTTTTTGTAAGGCACTAAAACTTGGCTTTGCCATCAAGCCTGATAGTATGGGTAGTATTTTATGGTCAGTTTGAGTGCTTATGAGTGTTCTCAGCTGCTATTTTTATTGTTTTTAATTTTGGTTGTTTTTATTGTTTTTGCTCTGTTTTAATTGTTAGCCATACAGAGTCATGTATATGAGATGGGTGGCCCATCAGTACAATACAATACAATACAATACAATACAACAGACATTCCTAACGTAGGAAAAACAGTGATTTGATAATTCATATGTTTGCTCAGAATCCTGTTCAGGCAACTTTCCTCTTATAGTTTTTCTTATATTCAAAGCAATTTTAAACCAGTTGAGGACTGACCAGCCGTTCAATATACTGTCATGCTACTCTGGAATGGACTTTAAGCAATCTTTTATAAACTTATATTATTCATTGCTTCCCCCCGCCCCAAGAATTAAGCCATGAGTACACAAGAGGTTACTTGCCTATTATTAATATTAAGCTTTATTCTCTGAATGCTGATCCTTACCATAGTCAAAATGTACAAGAGGGTAATGTCAAAACTCTTAAGGGAATACTAAGATTTGTAGATAAGCAAAATATTTCTTTTAAAAAAATGAACCCATGGGAGAATCCCATCTGTGCAGTTTAGTAACAGCTGAGGATGCACAGTGGTCACCAAATGCTGAATGTCAGAGAAAAACAAAACAAAATACTGTAAAATGAGGTCAAGTAGAAAAGGAAATGAGACAGAAACCCTGGAGCCCCGAACAGTGCATCTCACATTACAACAGTTTATCAAGGATTCCGCTTAATAAATTTTTCAGTTTAAATCACAGATAAATTTTTGTTTTAACATGTTAGATGTACTGTCAGACTGGGAGCAAAATTAAAATAGCTTTTGGTTAACTCTGGCTAAAATTTCTTTATTTCTGCTCTTGAAAAAGCAGAGACTTATTTCCCTACATTTTATATCAACAACTGTTCTGTGTGTCTTTAGATATCATTGAAAATAACAAAAAACCTCTTTCCCTATTTGAATTAGACTTAACTAATTACACTTAAGAGAGGACCATGAACTCAGTTTTGATACTGAAATATATTCTAAGTCTGAGCCATGTGCTCAGTTACACTAACTGAATTCATACATTTTTTTTATTTTTTAATTTATTTATATATCAAATTTGTCACTGCCCATCTCATTAAAAAGCGACTCTGGGCGGTTTACAAAAAGGATAAAATCAAAATACAATATAAAAGAAGTCTTAAATAATAAATTGATTCCAAGAATTGGTGGAATTGGCGAGTAGCTCAGGGAGCGTCATCAGAGCATTAACCACCTGCAGGATTGACCAAAGCTCCCTCACCCCATGCAAGCTGGCAGAGCCAGGTCTTTAGCCCTTTTCCGAGAGCTGCCACACCTCTGGGAGGAGAATATTCCAAAGGGTGGGGGCGACAGCATAAAAAGCGCTCCTCCTGGGCCCCACCAGCCAACATTCTCTTGTTAACGGGGTCTGCAACATGCCTTCTCTGCCTGACCAGATGGGACAGGTTGATGTGATGATGGTGAGACGGTTCCTCAGGTAGCCTGGATTCATGCCATGTAGGGCTTTAAAGGTGATAACCAACACCTTGAATGGACCTGGAAGCAAACTGGCACCCAATGCAGCTCTTGCAGTAAAGGTTACTTTACTTACTTTACTTACATTAAGCTATGGCTTGCTTAATAAACCATAACTATCTGAGATCACACGTCATCCTAAGTCATAAATCATGGTTTACAACCACAATGGCTGGGTTTAATACAATCCACAATGAAACAAAACAAACTACATTATGACAGTCTCATACATGAATGTATACTGTTTCTCAAGTATTATCTATCCTAATTCACTGCTTTGTACATGGTTCCAGCTGGTGGATCTTGAGGTTCTGATAGAAAAGAGAAAGCAGAGAAAGGAGATGCTAGAAGCTATAATAAAAATGACTTTGTTTCTGCGAATTCATTATATAGGGAAAATTATTTGCAAAGATTTATTATGTTCTCCATAATTAAACTCAATTATTAACTTTTTTACAGAATGTTTACTCTTTCTGTTCAATTGATACTTTGTATTTTTGTGTTTTTAGGAAGATCCAGAATAAACTGACATATTAATTTAGGATGTCATAATCCTGCTTTCACAATATATTAGTGTTACCGATATATTAACACTATCAGCTACTCTGAAAGTTTAGTAGTTTGATCAGGGAATGCTAAGGCAGTCATAGCTGCACACACCCCATTGTTTGCTTATTCCTATATTATTCTAACCTTCATCCAGAAAGGAATACACACATTCACTCTGATTAGGTTTTTTTTGTCTTGGATAAGACAGCTGTTAACTGCTAAAATGGACTTGTCACTTTCGTCTGTATTAACAGGCAATTTATTAACAGAATATACTGACAATAACATATATAAACCATGGCTTACCTTGCAGATCATGGAGGTTTTAGCCCCAAGCCGAGCTGCCTGAACACACTGGTTGGCACCTTTCCCCCCAAATCCAGTGAAAAATTTATGCCCATGTATGGTTTCTCCAGCTTTTGGTAGACGTGTGGTAAAGCTATTGAAATGAAAAAGGAAAGATACTCTTTATTGTGCATTAACAACGGAGTCCTTAAGAATTTTTAAACATTAACAATATAGAATTGTCATGGTGTCTGCTTAACTTTCATAAACACTTACTAGGAGAGCCCAAGTACTATAGAGATTCAATTAAAGGTAGTTCCAACAGTAATCCGAAATCTGTAAATTTAACTTTTTCACACTGCTACAACTACCACAAATCAAACAGACCTCACAGCTGTTTCACTTGTTTCAATTACAGCAAAAGGTGGTAAGCAAGACCAAAAGGTCTAAATTGAGTTCCAAATTTCTTAGGCCTAAGGGAAGATGGAAAAAAAATTAGAGGATAGGTGACTAAGTAATCACAATATTATGCAGGACTGCAAGAAGAAAGGTATATGCAATCCACACCGTTCTTACATAATACCAAAAGGAGGACCATTCCAGTAAACATGCATACTCTCACACATATACAAACATCCTGAGAGAAAAAACAGAATAGCTCTCCAGTTCTTTTGGGATTCAACAACATTTAAAACATCTATTTATAATGAAAATAAATAGATAATAAAAATATGGACACTTTTTACATAGAAGTTACAATGACACAGATCAAAATCAACTTGGGAATGGATGTATTATTGAATAGAATACCTCATAACCTAAGGACAGCCTTGAGATAATTTTTAATATAATACAACAGAGTCAGTAGGAACTCTACAGTCCTATTTGGGAAGTTCCCCGTGCAAAAGAACCTGCAAGTTAAAAACGAAATAAATATAACCTGCCTTTAGATAATAGTCAAGATAACTGCCTTAAAAATAATTTTAAAACAAAACTCATAATTATCAAAAAAAGCTACAGAATATAGTTAATGGTTAAGAGAACTTTAGCTTCATGATGCCACACCGTCCTATGCACTACAAGGCAGGCACCAAAATACAGTGGTACCTTGGGTCACGAACGCTTCTGTTCACAACCAATTCGGGTCACGAACAGCTCCG